AAGTTGTTCTATTTTCCTGTCCTCTTAATCTTGCAAAGATTTTATATTGTTCAAAAATAATAATGAAAGAAGGTATTAAAAAATTGAGATGAAATTCTTATCTATCAAATGTCAGTATCCTCGAATTTTAACAGCCTTTCATTTATAGAGTTTAAATAAATTAGCACTTAGATTTGAATGTTCTGCAATAAATTGTGCTCTTAATGGCAACAGCAAATAAACATTCCTTAGTGTTTTGAATACCAAAGTGATTTACCTGCACATGTTTTGGAGTTTAGACTCAGTAAAGTTCAGGGGCATCCATGTATGAAATAGCTTGAGAGGAAATTCCCATCGCTTTCTTCATTTGATTTAGTTTGGGAAAAGGACATGAGTTCAGAAAAATAGATCATCATCTTTAGTAATTTGGGTTCAGATATAGACGTTAAATATTGTACATAGACTAGTGAATGTGTATATAATTTTCTCAAAGCTTATAAAAGGAGTTGGCATTATAAAATACATTAGTTTCTGTTGACTATCTCATTTGCATTTTTATATGTTTTATTATGTAGACTTGCTTATGGGAAGCATTGTTAGAGATGTCAAATGTAAAAAAAATGAAAGCAAAATGTTTTTAAAAATGAGCAATTACGTGTTTAGGTATTTTATAAAAACTATAAAAAAGAGGGCATCAATTCCTGAGAGCGATGCAGTTAATTAAAGTGTCCTAGTAGAAAGAAAAATTTAAATCTAAGGGAAATAGTTCACATTTTGGTGCACTAATTATTTCTTTTTTTACTCTATTTTTACCAAGTAAAACATGTGCCCAGTTAAGGTAACTATGTTCAGAGATTTGTGATCCTGGATGGTATTCTCGTCATGGCCCCCCTACCCTCCAACTTTCAGGAAAGGTCTTTTATCCCAGAGGCCACTTCCAACTCTAACCTTCCAGTTTAATCCCAGTGCTGAGCATCCTGGGCTTAGGAAAGAAGAACAGGATGGAATTTCATTGGTCTGTTATCCCTTTTCTTTTCTTTTCTTTTCTTTTTTTATTTATGGAGAGTGAAAGAGAGAGGGAAAGACAGAGAGAAACATTGATGTGAAACCAACACATCGATTGGTTGCCTCTTGCACAAATCCTGACCAGGGCCCTGGCCTGGAAGGAGCCTGCAAACAAGGTATGTGCCCTTGACCTGAATCGAACCTGGGACTCTTTGGTCCGCAATCCAGTGCTCGATCTACTGAGCCAAACTGTGTAGGGCTTATTCTCCCTTTTTAAGTCTGGGGTGCTACCTCTCCTCATCTGGGGACATTGATCATGATTTCGGGTCACTGCTGTTTCCTGGTATTCCTGCAGAAGCCCTTTGGTAGATGTTTATTATCCTCCAAGTTCGGGGTAGGGGCGAGGAGGGTGCATTTCTGAGGATAAGGCAGGAAATGAATGGCTCGGCCAGCTTAAAACTAGAAGGTTTCCCAACAAATGATTTTAAAATACGGGTCTATACACCTTTCACAAAAGAGGATTTTGAAATAATAGTGATGTTTCTAAACACAGAACACCCAGAACAATTTTATTCACTCTCAAATGAATGTGGGAGAGGGTGGATGTAACACAGAGGGCCAGGAGGCTGACCATCCAGTGAGGAGGCTCACACTGGGAGTCCCTGATGCAAAACAGACGCTGGACCAGGGCTGGGAGGAGTGTGGTTGTGCGCTGATGCTCAGTGCAGGGAGCTGGCATTTCCATCCGAAGATGAAGGCTTTCTGGGAGGAGGTAGCCTGTTTATGTGTGACAATGTTTGGGGAGGATTTCCACCTCCTAAGAGCTTAATAACTTTAAAAAAAATTTTAAATTGATTCTTAGAAAGAGAGGAAGGAAGAGGGAGATGGAGAGAAACATCAATGTGAGAGTGAAATGTTGCCTCTCATACCCACCGGGACCCTGCAGAATCATACCAGCAACCTCTCAAGCACATGGGATAATGCCCAGGCAGTTGAGCAACACTGGCCAGGGCAAGAGCTTGCTAATGTTTTGCTGAGTATAATTCATGCCACTCAGCCTTGGTGGTTGGCCAGTTTTTTCTTTCCCCTCTGTTCCTGGTAAATGTTCTTTTGTTCAATGCAATGTATCAGCAGTCGTTAGTCTCACTTACTCTTGTCTCTGTTTCCCTGAGCGGAATTAACAAAAACCTTTCTGTGGCGACAAGGCACCAGTCAATGACAGTCACTGATCTATCCTGTGAATAAAAAAAAAAGAAAAACCTCCCCGTGAGAATTTCTTCCTGTTAATGAGGCATGTATATTACTAGGAATTACAAATATCGGGTAATAAAGCTTCAAGTTCACACATTCCCAGATGTTATTTTGGGGCCACTGGAGTAGTGATTTTTTTTTATTTTTTCAAAAACGTCAGCAGTAATTAGAAATCTTTCATAATTTCAGAAGCAGCGTTTGATTTTAATTCTTTCACTTTAAAAAAAAAAAACTTGTGTCAGAACTATTGACATTTTTATAGCTTGACAAAAATTAAGCATAATTAAAATGAAATATTTGTTGCATAAATTAAGTTGCAATTAATATGTTTTCTGCCTCTGCTTGAAGGATAAGATTAAAACGGTGTTGTTAGCAGACTCCCCGCCGCGAGACTAATTTCTTGATTTTTATACCAAACATCATCATACATGTTTTCACAGTGAAAGAATAAACCAACAAGTAGAAAACAATATTTGATGAAAATGATAGGCTACAGAAGGAGACGCACTGACTTTTATGAAGGCAAGGCAATATGACTGTTTATTTTAAGGTTTAATGACTAATTGATTCCCAGGGTAAGATTTGCACTTTCAAAGCCATTAAAATAAACAGAAAATTGCCCTTCATTTTAGTTTGCTATTCCTTTTTAAAAAAAAAATGTTCTTATTGACTTTAGTGAGAGATGAAGGGAGAGAGAGAGAATGAGAGAGAAATATTGATGAGAGAGAAACACCGATTGGCTGACTTTTGCACGTCCCCTACTGGGGATCAAACTTGAAACCCAGGAATGTGCCCTGACCAGGAATTGAACCAGTGACCTCCTCGTGCATGAAACAATGCTCAACCAACTGAACCACACTGGCCGGGCCACCTATGCCTTTTAAATGAGCCGGTGTATTGTGTCACAGTGTTTGCTTCTTTGGGAAGTAATTAGAAAGTGAATAAGATGTGGTATGCTAAGGCTCTCAGCTCACCAAGAAGTTATCATAAATCCCACCCCCCAAATCTCAGATGTAGACAAGGTCAGGAAAAGTGGAGGGAAGACGTAGTCTCTCAGTGCTTCAAAAGTTAGTCATTGTCGCCATAACCGGTTTGGCTCAGTGGATAGAGTGTTGGCCTGCAGATTGAAGGGTCCCAGATTGGATTCCAGTTAGGGGCATGTACCTTGGTTGCTGGCACATCCCCAGTAGGGGGTGCGCAGGAGACAGCTGATCGATGTTTCTGTCTCATCAATGTTTCTAACTATCTCCCTTCCTCTCTGTGGAAAATCAATAAAATATATTTTATTTTTTTAAAAAGTTAGTCATTGTCTTGGAAAGAAAAATCCCCCAGCTGCCACTTACGCAGGCAATGCATCAGTTCTAAGGTGAATTTTTTTCCAGCTAATTACTTTTTTGTTCTTGCTAATCTTCACCCGAAGTTTTTTTGTTTGTTTGTTTTAGAGAGAGTGGAAATGAGAGAGGAGGGAGAGAAAGAAGGAGAAAGTGGGAGAGAGACAGACATGGATTGGTTGTCTCCCGCACACACCCTGACCTGGGCCAGGGATTGACTCTGCAACCCAGGTATGTGACCTTGACCAGCAATCGGACCAGCAACCCTTCAGTGAGCAGGCCCGTGCTCTAACCACTAAGCAACAGTGGCCGGGGTGGGCATCTCCATCTTCTAGATGACGAAACAGAGGGAGTTAGGAAGTGCTTCCCAGAGGAAGCTTCCGTTTTCTGGAACGGTATCATTTCTCCCTTGTTCGGTAGAATTCACTAGAAAGAATCAAAGCCTGTTTGGAAAGGTTATTAATTACTGAGTTGATGTTTTAAATAGATTTGGGCCTATTCAGATTATGTGTTTCTCCTGGTGCGAGTTTTGGTGAGCTGTCTTCTAAGTGGTCAGTCCAGTTCACCTTGGTTAGCAAATGTGCAGTCCTCTGTTCTTTCTTTACTTAGCCTTTTAGTTAAAGTGCACGGCACCAGTAGCGACCACCCATCTCTCTCAGTAACTGTGACTAATTTGTGACTTCTCTCTTTTTTCTCACTTAGCCTTGGCTAGGTGTTTATCGATTTTACTGATCTTTTCAAGGAACCAGCTTTTGGTTTTGTTGATTTTCGCTCCTCTCTGTTTCAGTTTCATGACTTCTGCTCTGATTGGGCTCTGGCTTTCTTTCTCTGCTCACTGTTTCCTAGTTTCCTACAGTGGAAGCTTAGATCGTTGACTTGGGTCTTCCTTCTTTTCTATTAGATGCATTCGATGCTTTTAAAGCATATACCGTTGGAATATATCTCTATCCAAAGTAAATGTAAAAAATAAAAGTTGAAATGTACATTTATTTAACCATGTTTTTTATTGAATTCATTTGGGTGACGTTGGTTAATAAAATGATGCAGGTTTCAGGTATAGCATTCTATAATACTGTATATCGTATTGTGTTCACCACCTACATTAAGTCTCCTTCCATCACCATTTATTCTCCCTTTTACCTTCTTTTTCCCCTCCCCCCCTTTCCTCTGGCAGTTATCATACTGTTGTCTGTATCCACAAAATGTACATTTTTAAAATGAGTTATTTTATATATTAAAATAAACACTAAACATAATTAATAAATATAAACAGGTTAAACAAAGATCATTTAAATAAAACTAATCATTTCATTTTCTTTTTTGAAAATTAGTCATTATTATGTATATTTAAAGCCAATAATAATATCAAAAATAATAATATTAATACAAAGTCAGTAAGAGCTCTGAGGTAATATTTGCTCTTTTTTATTCTAGGATTTCCAAACTATATTACCATCATTCGGTCTCTTCTCCAAGTACGGAAAGTCATATTCAAAAGCTGGACAGATTTTATAAAGGTATGCATTTTTTTGTCAAGTATTTTAAGTAACTGAACCATCAAGCATTTAAAAAGCCATGCTACAGTAATATTAATGCATAACAAAACCAGACACGTTTTAATTCTAGTGTAATGGGTTTTAACATAAAAAAAATCATTGGTTTCGTTTTTCAAATCTCCAAAGTGGACGAAAAACACGTTAAGAACTAGAGCTTACAAAAATCAGAAGTACATTTACTTCATGTTAATTAATACAATAAATAATAGTTTTACACTATCCGGTGATAAAACACTGATGGTGTTCCAAAACCAAAACAGTGTCTCAATACTGTATTGATACAGTTAGTTTAATAGACTATATTCAATATGTGTGCTTCTTGAGCTACTAGGTGTCTTTATGGAATCCCAAGTAAATAGTGTCTGGGATCTCTGATTATCCCTGTTTACAGTGCAGAGAAGAACAAAGACCTACGTAACATTCAGGTTCACAGAAATAGCTCTCAATGTGTACTGCATTCACTGGGTAAGGTGTATAAAAATAGAGGCTTGAGTACAAACAAAGCAAGACTTATAGGAAGTAATCTGGCATTTTCATCCAAATTAAAGGAGGTAGTGGATGAAGACAGCACAGATCACCACAGTTGAAGAAGAGGGAAGAGGCAGGAATGAGAAATCATGCGGGTTGGAATTCCCCGGTGCCCTCCCAGCCACAGGGCCATGGGAGAGCTGGTCCGCTGGGGAAGGCAGAGTAGATCCAGCAACTTATTTCCTTTCATTCAGCATCAGTGTTGCCTGTCTCCACTTATAACTCGGGATGCTTCAATGTGGAAGTCAGTGCATTCAACACAAACACCACTACCTCTACCTTTTAATGACCTCAAAGGAAAAACGCGGAGGGAAATAAGACATATTCATCTATAATGCCTCATGGAATTTCAGTTCCAAAGGTTTATAAAGTATCACTACCGTTAAAACAATTGTCTGATATTTCTAACTCACAGTATAAAGCAGTCTAAGTGAAACCTATCCTATCTGTGTGTGACTTAGTTTTCATTCAAAGGTATATTCTATTTGTAGTTGTAAAAGGTTGAAAACAAGTTGAACACTGGATAATATGTGCTAAGTTAAATAAATGATGAGACATAGATCCTTACCTGATAATTTGGGAGGGGAAAAAAAGCCTTAATATTTGCACTTTCAAAGCCATTAAAATAAGTAGGAAATTGCCCTTCATTTTAGTTAGCTATTCCTTACAAAAAAAAAAAAGTTCTTACGCTTTTATGAAAAATATACTTGCGAGTACTTCTGTGTTGCATATAGTTGTATACATTTATATACTGCAAAAATGTTAAAGGTAGTTATATCTGAGTAAGATTGGTATCTAAGATTGTAGATGTGTAAGACAAAATACTCCGTAGGAATTCCTTGCTCTTCTCTACCAATTACAAAAGCAGCTTGATTTTATTGAATCATGATAATTTAGAGAAAATTATTTTTAAGATTAAATAAGTACTTGCTACATTATTTATAAGAAAGAAGGATGAGTAACAAATATTTAGAGTTACTTTTAATTACAAGGAGCAAATATAAGTAGGTGACAGTTTTTAAACAAACAATGCCTTGGTCGGACTGCTCTTGGATTTTCAACTATTCTGCGAATCGGAGATATTATCCAAATGACACCTCCTCTCAGAATGGAAATGAATGTGTTTAATTTGGTAAGTGGACGGGGGCTGCCCCAGCTAAACTCTCCTCTTAAGCTTGCATTTCACCAAATCTGACAGAGTGCTTCCGCTCTGTGTGGAGAAGGCCAAGATGGGGACACTTGCCCCAAAGTATTGACTGGAGATGCCAGAGGAATTCTTAAAGCTATCTGCTTGATTGCTTTGGCTTCAAGGCAGTTCATCACTTGACGGTAACTCACCCGACATTGCCTCTCCCAGCCATCCTGCGCTTGCCCATCAGTCCGATTAGAAATGGTGACGCCTTTATCAGATTAATCTTTCTCCCCCTTCAGCATGTCTGCGTTTAGGATAAAACCGTGCCTACCCCAACCCACTTCAATTAATCCACTAAGATTTGAGCCACCGAAATGGCTGAGAATGAATTGGATTTTAAACACACACAGAGGGCAGGATGTTCCCCCAAAAATGAATGCACACTTTGAATAATGAAAAAGGCAGTGCTTATTAAAATACTTTAAATTTTCAAAATGTAATAGAATCTACATAATATGTATACATTTTTTGGGGGGGGGGACACTATATTTTAAAATGTACTCTCTGACTAGGATATTCTGACTCCTTTTATTTTTTATTTTTTTAAATTTTTCTTTATAAACTGCTCCGTTGGGTAATGGTGGATAATTTCCCAGAAATCCACTGGGTCTGAATCAAAAAGGGCTGCCTCCTTCCGTCCATCTGAACATTTGTTGGTATTTCTAACTCACAGAATAAAGCTGTCTAAGTGAGATCTATCCTATCTGTATGTAACTTAGCTTTTCATTCAAAGCTATATTCTGTTTGTAGTGGTGAAAGGTTGAAAGCAAATTGAACACTGGATAATATATGCTAAGTTAAATAAATGATGAGACATAGATCCTTACCTGATAATTTTTTTTGGGGGGGGAGTCTTAATATTTGCAGTGTTCAAGCCATTAAAATAAGTAGAAAATTGCCCTTTATTTTAGTTACTATTCTTTTAAACTTTTTTTCTTATGCTTTCATGAAAAACATACTTGCAAGTACTTCTGGGTTGCATATATTTGTATACATTTGTAAATTGCAAAAAATGTTAAAGGTAGTTATCTCTGGGTAGGATTGGTATCTGAGATTGTTGATACCTTTTAGGGGCTTTGCCTTATTTAGTTCCATTCATCTTTTCCCAGGATGAGAAAGGAGAAAGTCAGCAGCAGGAGGGGGCGGGGGGCGCGGTAAAGGGGGTTGGGACCATTGGCCAGTGGGCATTGCGTTGTGTGCACTGAGTCTCCTCTAGTTGTTTGCGTCTCAACTGTCCCAAGTTCTTGTCCACAATGTGCTTCAGTCCGGGTCCTCTTTCTGCTGAAAGGCGTGGTTCCATTTGGAGGCCCAGTGAGATGAGTTTCGATGAAATTACCTGTTGTGCATGGAAACCCGGGTCCTGTCTTCCTTCCTCATAGGGATTTGGCATCTGGATGACTGGAATGGCTGGGGAAATGGAAAGTGAAAAATGAGTCTCGTTAGCACCTGCGTTGGGACAGGGGTGACACTGATCTTTTTCTTTTGTTTTAAGAAGAAATACGGTCTTAGCAGCTGTGTAAGGAGAGAAATAAGCAATATACACTGAGTGGCCAGATTATTAGGATCTCTGAACGCATAATAATCTGGCCACTCAGTGTGAGAGTGTGTGTGTGTGTGTGTGTGTGTGTGTGTGTATTAGAGTTTGAGGTCTGGTGCATGAATTCATGCATGTGTGGGGGCCGGCCTCCTGCTGGTCGAACTCCTGGTCGAGTGGACAATTTGCATATTAGCCTTTTATTACATAGGATATACACTGAGTGGCCAGATTATTATGCGTTCAGCTATCATCATAATCTGGCCACTCAGTGTATGTGCTCACCAGGGGTTCAACCTCTAATTCAACAAGAAAACCTGTTAAAACCTATTGGCATCCAGTCTGGCACTGTGTGAATGTATAACCCTTTTCCAGATCCATCAGAGTGGATCTGCAAAAATAAGACAAAACAAAAATCGAGATATCTTTAGTATCTTCCTCTTGGTGAAGGTGTTCTCTGATAAAGACACAGTAATTGCCCCCAGGTGTGCAGGAGGCAATTTTTCTCCATGGCTGGGGCAGGTTGGCCCAGTGCCTTGTGTGTCTGAGCTCGCTCCCCTTTGTTTAGCGGGATCTGCAGGTGCAGACAGAGGTCAGAGGTCAGGGTGGATGCAGCAAGGCTAGCAATGGGACGGCTCAGTGTGCGGCCCCCAGACCTCCTGCTGAGCGGACTCTGAGTGAGGAGGATTTGAGTAGAGAATTTGAGAACTGTGTGTCATTGGCTTTTTCCCTTTTTTCACCTCAGTGTGTTGTTTTTAGAAAATACCTTCTCTCACTTTACTGTTTTGTTTTTAGACAATAAAAGAAGACAAAATGTAAACATGAGGTTCAGGTGTGAAGTGATTGTGGAGTAGAAGACGTCACTGCCTGACTGAATCACCTGGACACAGTGTGTCAGCCTTTGAAGTCTCTCTCTCTCTCTCTCTCTCTCTCTCTCTCTCTCTCTCTCTCTCTTTCTCTCTCTCCCCCCTCCTTCCCTCCTCTCCCTCCCTCCCTCTTTCTCATTTGTTCAAAGAAGAAATGGGAACCCTGTAGGTCATTCAAAACTCAAGTTCTAAAAGGAACATACACATGAGGATCCTACAGAAACCACAACATAAACCACGCTTCTTATGGTTCAATAAACTATAGTATTTTATAGATGATTAGTTTCATGCAGTGTGTGGACAGTTGGATTTTTTTGCTTCTGAGAACATCTGTCACAGCCACAGCCCCTGGTGACCAAAAGTGCCATAAAAATGGTCCCCCGACGAGGCCATCTTGGTCGAGAATCATTGATCGGCTACCTCTTACACACCTCCTACTGGGGTCCCAGCCCACAACACTTGACCAGAATCAAACCCGGAACCCTTCAGTCCACAAGCCAACTCTCTATCCACTGAGCCACACCGTTTGAGGCATTGGACTCAGGTCCAGCAAGTGGTCAGCTCAGGGGGTTAACTGTTGTGTCTGAATGACGCCCCTGGCAGTGGTTGGTCACAGTCCAAAGGCCACTCCTTTGGCAGGAAACCAAGACTATACCCACTCCAGCCTGTTAGTGAGTAATTCCATCCTGTGACTCAGATGGGTGGTGATAGCCTTTTACTGTATTTTATAAGGCCCAACAGAGCTAGTCCATCTCCTTGCACCATTGTTATGAAGGTGGAAAGTCAGTTTTTTTCATTGAAGGGAACGATTTCATTCTTGCCAGGCAGATCAACAATCA